CCTTAGTAATGATCCTACTAATCACATCAGCTACTAAGGTAAAAAGGAAGGGTGAAAGTGGATCCCCTTGCCTGACACCCCTGCAAGCTGGAAAAAAACCCTCACCGTACCATTTACCAGAATAGAGTAGTGACAAGTACTGATACACCCTAAGATCCAACTACACCACTTGTCCCCAAATCCACCATTTCGCATAACCTCTAATAGAAACTCCCAGTCCACCAAATCACAGGCCTTTTCAAGATCCAATTTACAAATGAATCCTCTCTTACTAGACCTTTTCATTTCCTCCACACAGTCATTCACAATTAAAATCTGATCTGTTATTTGTCGCCCTTGAATGAAAGCCCCCTGAGTTTCACTAATGATGGTAGGGAGGACTGTTTTGATCCTTAATGAGAGCACTTTAGCCATAATTTTATAGATGCTTGTCACCAGACTAATAGGCCTATAATCTTTTGGGTGGTTGGCATCATTCTTCTTAGGTATCAAGGCCAAAAAGGTGGCATTAATTCTAGGGCTTATAGTGTGATTGTTTGCAAATTCCTTAAAGACTTCAATTAAATCGTCCTCTTTCAACACCTCCCAACAGTCTTGATAAAAACCCATTGTAAAGCCATCTGGACCTGAAGCCTTGGATCTATCCATTAGAAAGACARCTTTCTTAATCTCTTCTTCCTCGAAATCCCTTTCCAGCCACCTTGCCACTGTTATGAGCACCCGCACCACACGGCAGCAGTTGAGGCAGCAGCGCGCACACGACCGGCACCGCACGGCAGTGGCACCATGAGCCGCGTGCACGCACTGCCTAGCAGTGGCACCGCGCGGCAGCATGCGCCGCACGCACGCACACCGGCAGCAGCAGCAGAGCGGGGCCCACGCGACAGCTCATTGGGTGGGCCCACCCTTATCCGGACACGTCAAGAGAACGTGCCTTATCCCTTATCCCATTCTCCCTTATCTTATCCTCTATTCTTAGAAGGAATTGTAGTACCATTAAAAGTAAGTAGTCTAATTAGAAGTAGGAGTTTGAGTCCGTTTAGGACTAACCTAGCCGAATCCAACAAGGAATCCTCCTCTTGTAATCTCCTATTTACGGAGAC